AATAATAAACCAATTTAAGTTTCTTACACAAACTCAATTAAGCCACAAATTCACTAAAAACACATTTAATACTAAAAAGTAAACTTGTAACTACTCTAAAAAAATTTTGTATTATATTTTATGAACAAATATATTTTTATATATTATAAATATATATATTTATTATATTTATTATGTATATATTTATATTTCTGATCAAATTAAATTTATGTATGATCAAAGAATAATTAAACATAAACTCTTTTTATACATGATATGATTATGTTTTTTTTGAATTTAATTAAAAATATATTAACATACAATACGTTATTTATAAAAAAGTAGGAAAGTATTTTTCAATATAGTATAAGAATTTATTTGCTAATTAAAGTTAAGAAATAAGTTAGAAATAACATAGAAACATTTTAAATTATATAAAATGAAATAAAATACATACTTAAATTTAATTTAATTTATCTCTTTTTAATGTAAAAAATTCAAAAGCACATTGCCAACATTTTCTAGACAGTAAGATATTGTGTATGTTACGATAATGTGTAGATATGGTTAAATTTTTCTGTTTCTTTTAAATTTGTTTTTTTTTTTTGTAATTTTTATTTGCATTTTTATATATGTATATTTGCTTTTTTTTGTACTGAGTGCACTTCTCTGCAACACAATTGTAAGAAGTGGGTCAAGACAAAACGAATCGATGCAACATAAAAAATCGCTTAAGCTCACCAACAACAATACTAAACACATATAACCGTAGAATATATGTAATATTATATCCTTCTATCATTATTTTGGTGCAATGAGAAAGTACAAGTAAAATCTTCTATCTTTTTCTTATGTGTCATTTTTTTCTATTTGTTTGAACAAAAATAGTTTTCAATGCCATGAGTTTTTCCACATAAAACCAGGCCTTTAGAGCCTTACAGCAATGAATGAAAAAATGAAAATTTATATAGTATACTATGTGAAATATATGAAAATAAAACTATAAAGTCTCTAAAATATTGTTGCATAATAATAATTTCGTTACATTATAATATATATGAAATCAAAAAAGTGACGCAATGTAAGCAAAAAACGGAATAATAATTAGTTGAGGATAAAAAGTTTAAGTATTTGGAGGGAACACAATTAAGGACAACTGCAACTTAACAAGCAACTAGCAGCGCAGTAGAACATGGGTAAATATTCTTTATTTCCATATATATAATATATATCAAAATCATCGAATCGTACTTACCTATATATTGTACAACTAATATACAAATGTCATTTAAATATATTTATAATAGCAATTATATCTTTCATATATTCTCTTTATTTCTAACATATTTATTATATTGTTTAAGCACTTGTACTAATATGTGTTAGCGTAGTTTTAATATTTTATATATTCTATTCAATTATTCTACATTCTATTTAAATATCAAACTGTGACTAACTATTTTTTCCATACAAAACTAACATATTAAAAAGGTAATTCTTTTGTAAATATATTTTCTCTGATATATCTATCTAAAATTTTATCTATTCTATTTTAAATATTAACTATTTTTAAATTTTTCATACATTTATAGTGTCTAAATAATCGCTCTCATTTACATATTTTCTATAACGTTTTTATAATCTCAAATAACGCTTCATTCATACATTTCTATTACAGTTTTTTTTTATTTTACTTCAACTTTCAATTCCTTTCGCTCATACTTTTAATACATTTTGTTATATTTTTATAATTTTTAATGACACATTCCTAAAGTAAACAACATAATTCTGATTCCTAAAATATGCACAACAAACCCATTCATGCAAACGTACATCCTTACGCCAACACGAGGCATTGCCTGCGTAAACAAAATCTTCCCGTATTTCTTCCCATCATTTTCAGCGCCATTTTTATTTCTATTTGTAGCTGTTCCATGCACACTGTACACACACACACACACGCAAGTGGATACTCCTTTTTTTGTTTTGTTTTTCTTTGCAAACAACTGTTGCATGCTTGCTTCCGCATATCGGCACGTTGTTGTTTTAGTTGTTGTTGTTTGCGTTTAAGTTGTCGTTGTAGTTTTAGTTGTTGCTGTAGGTATTGTTTTGATGTCAGTTATCCTGTTGACGTTAGAGTTATTGTTTATGTTTCAGTAAGTTTATGTGGTTCCAAATGCTATTCTCTCTACTAGAAACCATGCAATAAACACTGTCAAAGTCATAACCACACAAACGGCAACCACTCACACTCCACAAAACTTTATTGTGATTTTTTAATAAATGCCACAGAGTCCTGTCAACTTGCACAGGAGTTAAGAACCTTTTAGAAATTTTTTTTTTGTTTTGGTTTTTGATTTTATTTTAATGTTTATGTTTTAAAAGCTACTGATTTTTAATCAAAAGCTGAAGGAAATTAAGGTTAAAAGTTAAGCCTCAGGCATGAAAAGACAAGAGAATTTTCATTAAAAATTAAAATTGCCTTCCAAATTAATTATATATGTACATAAGATGTGTTTATGCTTTTTTTTGGAGTTAAGTTAAAAATATGTTAATATACAGTATGTTACTTACAGACCGTTGATTTACAAATTCCCACTGGAAGTGCCAAATAAAAATATAACGGAAGAAATTTATATATGAGAGTATGTACATATATAATAAATTATTGCGCTATTCTATAATTAGAAGCCAAATTTTTTTATATTAAAAAAAAAACATTTCAATGAGTTTAATACTTAATTACTTATCCTAAATATGTAATACCTTTATATTATTTGGTATAATGTGTTCTGAGATTGTAAGTGAATGTAAAGAAGGCCACTGCAACTAGTGTTTTCTTGTGTTATAAATAAATAATATTATAAATAATATAATATTAATAAATACAGACTTACCAACATCGCGTTATCAAATCTCAAAATGGTTACAGGCTCCTCGGGGAGGTATGCAGATCTGAGGTCAATTATTGCTTAGTCTGATGAAGTGATGAACAATAATCCGGTCAAGGCGTAAAGAGGGGTTTTCAAAATACCTCGAGTTAAGAAAGAGTAAAAGTGCTCAAGTGCACTAACTCAAAACAGCTTCAACATAATAATAATAATATTATAATTAAATAAATGTATAAAAAAGTCATTATATATCATATATATATTATATACCATAATATAAATATGTTATTCCTTAGTTTTCTCTTATGAACATCAGTTTTTATAAATCAATCAAGTACTTTTATAAATTAATCAAGTACTATTCATTATAGATAGTTCTATATACGTCAGTACATCTTTAAAATTACATATTGTTATATAACATAGGTTTTTGCGCTATTTTTATTTTTATGAAATAGTAAATTTTGTTTTAATAAAAATATTTCACAGATACGAGTTCTAAGCCTGGCATTTGTAGTACAAATAAATTATATCGGACTATGAACTAATTAAAAATTCGAATAATTTCTAAGTACTTGGCAATACTCGAAACTACAATTTTTGTCTTTTCTTTGCTATTCGAATCCGTCTAAATTTTGAATAGTTTCTTTTCGGCATAAAGATGGATCACTTTCTGCAAGAAAAAATTAACATTAAAATTTTATCTATTCTAACTATGACTTTTGATCGTCTTTCTGACATTTTATGGATTCCATGAAGAAATATCTATTCATTGCATAATTTTTTTTTGTGGTTTTTTAAGTGCTGGTCTTGAACAGCGCTTACACTGATCGGAACAAGTTGTAATCTGATGGAACACAACTTGGTTATGCTTCCAATACGGTGGAATTTTCAATTTAAGCACTTACAACGTATTTTTTACTAGAATTGCGACAAGTGGTTCAGCTTTAGTTCAGCATTATTCTGCAATCGGTCTTTTTTATTTAATGGATAGTTTAAATCTATCAACTGTTGTTATTCAATTTCGTTTGGTTCTAGCAACTCATAGCATACGACTCCTTTCTTATCCCACATAACCCTTCTTTGTTTAATGTTTCATTTTGGCGTGGATAAGGATGTTTCATCGAGTTGAATCCATAATTTTTTTTATTTTTCAATTTTTCATCACCAGTTGATGCAACAAATCTTTATTGTCTAGTAAGCAAAGAATTGAAAACTATTCAATAATTTTTAATATTGACTGTAGTCAGTTCATGTGGTTCCAATTTTCCATCTTTTGAAATCATGTTCATAGCATGTAAACATTCGCTTATGGATGTTTAAGTGACACCTAACTGTTCTGCAAGTATTTTATTCTTGAATTAAAATATTCGTGGAAGCATCGACTTTAAGAAGTTTAAAGAAGAAAATTTCAAATTTTTTTATTTATATTAATTTAGTTAAGCTATTCGTCTTTTTTAAATGATATCTTTTATTGCAGTTCAAATTATTGTACATAGATAAAAAAATCACAGTTCTTCATCTCGTAGGTTTTAAGCCTCCAAACACTTGTAAAATTTTATTTATTTTATTCATATTGATACTAAACTTTTTAATGTGAATAAAATTATTTAAACTCAAATTAAAACTTTATTTCGAAGAACAACGAGATAAATATTTAATACAAGTAAATAAAATTAAAACTTTTTTCTAAGGTTGAATTTAAATTCAATTCAATTCAGATAAATTGTTAAATAATATGAAAAAGGAAAGTTCATTTTTAAATTAATTTTTATTTCAAGAAAAGAAATGAAATATTTTACAAGGATACCATGGCAGCAAGCGAATTATCTTATTAGCTTCGAAGGCAAATTGATACAATAAAGCTCTTATTTTTTTGTATAAACTGAAAAAAGTTTAATTCAGAGGAATAAATTATTTCTTCCGTAAAGCAAAATAATAAAAGGGCAAAGATGGACTTATATAAAGGAAACCGACATGCTTTCATTGCTTTTTAATTATTAAATTGGTTCATAATGCTTTATGGGTAAAGAGATTGTGCTTTAGTTAAGTAATAAAAGCAATGAACATCAGTGGTTCGCAATTTCAGTTAATAAATCTGAGGTCAGTAATAACTTTATATATCTCTTGGGAGTACAGGAAGTATTAGAATGAAGAAACACAAAGGGAATATGTTAGTAAGTAGTAAGTAAATATACTGATGTGACAGTCTATGTATGTACTAGAAGCATATCATATTCCGGTATATAAATAATTTATGGTGGGGTTAATTTTATTATAAGCATATGTCAAAAGCTTGTGGTTATTTTTGCAATAATTTGTGATAAATTTTAATTTAGTACTTATGTTGTTTTAAGTAATAAATCGTTATTCTCTCAAAAAAAATTTAAATCTAATAGAAGCTGAATACTATTGTTGTGTGTTTTTTTTGAGTGTCAAATTTGAACTTGAATTTTTGAAATTCAATTTCATGGCAAAAAGTAGTCAGTTCTTACTGCCAGTTCATGTGATAGGGTACCAAAATAAAACTAAATGGCTACAGCTTAATTTTTCATACTATAATTATAATTTACATATTGAGTGTTGCTAACTAACTATAACCTATCGACTTACTACTTTATGCACGGGAACGAAGAAACATGGACGAAAACGTGTAACGGTCGTCGGATTTGACGTGAGATCGAGATATGAACATACATGATCCTAAATATGTAAACACCATTCCAACGAAAAAACCGATACTAACATTGACTGCAGATGAGGACTTTCTACTCTATATACTCTAGAACTTATCCTACATATTTCTAGAAGATAGTAATTTACTGAATAGGAAAGTGTAGCTATTGACTACTCAATATAATCTGGCTATTGTTAGTGTGTGGCAATACTGGAACCTTACATTCCAAGATTTTATCCGATGGGAATTTAGTGAATAGGAAAGAGTGGCTATTGCCTAATCAATATAATCTGGCTATTGTTAATGCGTGGCAATACTGCAACCTTACATTCCAAGACGTTATTCACAGAAATCTAACCTCAATTGATTATAAACCCTTTCGAAATTGCAAAATTTCTATGCTTTAGTATTGATTAGAATCAATTTCTACACACATATTGTACATTTAATATCTTTTTCCATTACTTCATTTCTTGGCATTCCAAAGTCGTCCTTTGTATGGTATTACTGGGGACTATTGCAGCAACAAAACTAACTGGCACTGTTGTTCTTTAGCATATTCCACAATCCGATTAATAAGTTATAAGTCTGCTTCATAATAACAATATTGCTAGAACACAAAATATAT